TATATTTTAGTTAGTATGGGTGGTGCCACGCCCCCTCTTCCGAATTCGGGAAAACTTCGCATAAACCATCTGCATGATAAATCGAATATGCCGCATAAATTTGGTTAAATTCGGTCAAGCTGTTTTCAAGTTATGAGGTCACACCAAAAACGTGCACTTATTTTTATATATAAGATGTAGGTAAAAAAATTTAGCTACCATTTTTAGCCACAACGACGATTTTTAGCTCTTTTTTAGCCCTTTTTTAGATGCAATTTAGCTACCACTAAAAATGTTTCGCGGCAACACTGGTGCCTATATACCTGGAACTCGTCATGGGCAAAAGAGAAGTAGGAGTAGCACCTAACACTGGGGATTTAAGGAAAACGTTATTTAGCACATCAACGTTCAATTTACTTTCAGAGGCGTTGCGAGTATGAATACGTAAGTTTTTAATATTACGCCAGAAAACTGTGGGAGGAAGGGCAGGATCCAGTTTTTAAGCGAAGTATTTCAGCTTTTCCTTCCTGATAATCTTAGTGGAATTATTGCGTGCACTCTTAAAGGCTTCCCAGTTAGATTGGGAGGGATATATTTTCCAAACAGAGTGTAATCTATTTTTCCTTTTAATAGCTGACTCCACCTTAACATTGAACCAAGGACAAGACAATTTGCTCTTACACTCACGGCGATTGGCAAAACAATTAAACGCATCTAGCAAAACCTTATTGAGGAAGCTAAGTTTGTCATTCACAGAAACAAGCTTCCAACAATCGCACCAATTAATGCATGAAAGATGTGAGAACAGAGAGTCAATTTTCAAGGATTTATAATCCCTAAACGAGAAAGTACTAGTTTTCCTGGGACAGTCAAAGGCAATATCAAGAGCAAAAAATATAAGGTCATGATCAGAAACGAAATACAGCTGATCAAATTTTAAAACTAAAGATTGGTCAGAGACAAAAAAATAATCAAGTAAGCTGGGGTTAGCATTACACTCATACCGAGTTGGTATCGTAGTATTGACAATAGAGAGTCTAACACCTGCTACAGCATCAATGAAACTAAGTGACTCACGGGAAAGCAGGTTTACATTGAAGTCACCACAAATAACAATATTGACATAATCCACAACAAAAGACGACAAAATTTCAAAATACG